CCCGTAGCAAGAAAGATGAGCAGCACTGATTTCTGACACATTGCCATTTTTGGGTTTCGTTAAATCATGTGGAATCCAAGTCTCTAATACGGTTTAAACCCAACTGTATGCAATGTTCGAGTATTATCGTATGATCAACTGATAGCTCTTCTGCTATTTCGCGAAAAGAAGGCCTGGATGACCCTCCGTTCGACTTTGAAGATTCAACCCCAGAACGGAATTTAACAAACCAGTTTGCACATGTCCTTCTTTGAATCTTGAAACAATACTTGGTGCTTCTTTGTAGAAATTGTCTCTTTCAACAGGATTTGGTGTTCCGAGTTTATCTCCCTTTATTCTAGAGCCGTTATTCCAAATTCCGATATTCTATCTTCATGATATATTTCCTTTCTTCAGATCCAACCATATCGAATAAATTTATTTGACTATGGATGTAAATGAATATCTACAAATCAAAAAAGAAACAGAAATCCGTTCAAAAGTCAGAGGAAATAGTGGAAAAACTAACACTAAGTAGTGAGTAGGTTTGGACACATTAAACATAGTCATGTTTAATTCTTTAGAATAAGTTTGAAAGTGTTTGTGAAGATTATAAAAGTTCCATTCCAATTCCCCTTTTGGTGAAAATCTGATTTCTCTTATTTGTGTGTGTTGATCTGAAAATTGCATTCCTTACTGAGAGTGGTCCGAAAGTATGTTTTATGCTAGGTTTTGTGAACATTTCAAGAATAAAGAACGTTCTGGTTTAGATAAGCACTTTATTGATCTGGAAAAAAAGGAAAGAAAACAACAAGCATAAAGACACATAAAGTTCAAAAATTTCAGAAGTAAAATACAAAATCGAGAAATTGTGAAGTCGGGAAGACTACGGTTAGGATACAGAGCAATCAGCATTTTTTTTCCTTTGTCTTTCTCCTAGGTAACTTCTTTATCTTCAACGACTGTGGGTTCGTGAATTGGCTATAGGAAGCCGAATACGGCACTCTCTCAAACCGAAGCCATTCTGTTTTTGGATTCCCTTGATAATCAATCAAGCAGGGGTAGGGTGTCCATTCCCCACCCCTGCTCCAAGCATAAATTCTCTCATTGAGCTTTGACTCTTGAAAGTATTTTCTTAATACTCCAACATCGATATGATGAAGTTTGCTCTTGAAATCAAATCCAGGAATACTTTCCCCATTTTCATAATTATTTGGATGATCCAAGAGAATCAAAAATGGAATATCTAAGAGATTTTGACAATAAAGAAATAGAAATGAGTCTTCCATGAGGCGAAAAGTCAGATTTCTAGCAGATCTTACACAATTCACGTAACTTCCCAACTTGTAACTTGAAGATAAAGTACGTTTTATGAACGTTTTTGTAGATATTTCAATGCTCTATTAGAATAAATACTTTATTCATTCGAAGAAAAAGAAAAAATAACAAGTGGCATAAAGACAGATAGAGTTCAAAAATTGGACTAGTAAAATAAAAACTCCTGAAATGGTGAAGTCAGGAAGGCTACGGTTAGGATACAAAGCAAGAAGGATTTCTTCTTTCTCTTTCTCTTTTAGTAACTTCTTTATCTTCAACTATTAAGTCTAGCTTCTGCTCTTGGTCAGTGAATAGAAAGCCGAATTCGGCCACTTTCTTTTGCTCAAGACTCTGTCATTCTGTTTTAGAAGTGTTTAGAAGTCAAAGATTAAAAAGTTTAGCAAGTAGTGGAGATATTTGAAACTTAGTTTTCGTATGTCTTATGTCTTATTTGTCTGCACCAACTCTTGTTCAAAAATAAGTTTCTTTCAACTTTTGGGCAAATATCCAAATTTGTGATTACGAGTTTTTTAGCCAAGAAGTAAATAAACTTTCAGGAAGCTCTCAACCAAGAAGACAATGTTTTGGTTTTTGATTCAAGTTTAACAGAGCCAGCCTTACCAACAAATTTTTCAAGGCCAGCAAACGGGCACCCGGCTAAAATTTACAAAGTTGGAGAGGCCCACGACCTATGCTATCTAGAAGTGGCTGCCATTCAAACTCATCTCGGTAATAGTAGGAATGAGTTCGATGGCAAGCAGTCAAACACAAGCCGAAGATAATTTACGCTATTTCGATCCGAGAATGATGCATCAGCCAAGCAAAGAGTGCGTTTATTAACAGTGGAACTTTTATTTTTTATTTCAGATCGATGAAATTGCGACCTCATCTTCCGGCGGATGTCATTCTTTTCGTGGTCGGGGGCGGAAATTACGTGGAGTATGAAAAACTTGTTGAATGGGGACGCGATAAAGGAGTTCAACGTGTGACTTATGGTTGCACTGAACTTGTTAGCCCATCGCAGTTTATCGAACAGGTATAATTTCGGCTTCAATCATATTCAACTTTGTTTTTTAGCTTTCACGGCTTGGTGGACAACTTTAACAGAATTGCGGCATTCTTCGATGAGATTAGCGGTTTGAATCTTGTTTTTAAAAACTATCTTAATCATTGGTTACTTTATGTGCATTGGCTAAGCTTACGTGTGTTTTCTGATAGTTTTTCGCAAATATCTCAAGTTAATGTGTTTTTGAAGTACTGTGATATACCTATCCATAATTTCTGTGTTTGTATTGTTTTTTGTCGCGATGAAACTTACAAAAGGATAAATTCTAGCAAAACGTATAAAGATTGGGTAATGCACGAGAAAAAGCACATTTAGATTTCATTTTGAGCGCTTCATTTATGTTCTCCTTCACATTGATTATCCAAATGTGAAGGGGAAATCTGGTTCGGTGAATGTGTACAATGATATGCGAGCGTTCTCAAAGGCAAAGAGGAATACTAGGCTATCCATATCAGGCTTCTTGGAGTGAAGTGATAGGGATCGGAATCTTTCTTTCGCAATCTTTCTCCCTTATTCTTCTGATTCCATAGACATGCAGATTCCATAGACATTTCCATTTCCATAGACAGCATGCAGATTCCAGAGACACAACTATGAAAAGCAACCAAATTTAATTTCATCCACTCATCGCCGAAAAAAAAACTGTAAAATAAAATGATGCGTGAATTTCCATAGTTGTGTCTATGGAATATGAATCTTATAGCATCTTATAGCGTCTAGCAACTAATTTATTTCCAACCCTTTTTGCCTTTTTCGTATCCTGCATAGAATTAGGCCAGTAAAAAGGCTAGAGACAAGGTTACGGTAGCTTTTGAAAGTGCCATGGTTTAGAAAACGGATTAGTTGCTCAATAGAGTCCTTAAAGACAACGAAATATTTTCAAATGTAAATCTAATGGAAAATTCCAGATGACCGGTCTCCAGTTGCCCGCATGTGCCCTGGGTGGATTGCCTCTTTGCAATCAGTTAAATGGATTGTATTCGGGAAATTGCCCTCACACAAGCTCATACCTGAATGTTCGTTCAGATCATTCATCGTGTTAAAATTGAAATTCAGGACATAAACTCACTTCAGCGCTACGGAGGCCAACATATCTATACTATCAACAGTAAAATGGATCAAATTGTCGGATTTTTGGTGTGCGGAGGGGTGAGTACGGAGCGTAATAAAACCTATTTGTAAACTAATATTTATTTGAAACTATATTTGAAATTTCAAACTTTCAGATCAATTCCCAAATCGGAGGACAAGAGGGTGAGCGAATGTTTGACGGGTTGAATCACGAGCAAACTTTCCATCAAACACATCATGTTCAATTGGCGATGATCCGTGAGCACAAAGTCATCAAAGAGTGAGATGTTTCTGCTAAGCAAAATGAAGAGCTATCCGCTAAACGTTGTCATTTCCAATCTTGTTCTTGAAAAATCTTGAAAAACAAAGTTGAAATTGAAGTTCTATCAAAGATCAACTATTCGCTGCATCAGTATCCATTAGACATGACTAACGAGATAACGAGAGTTAACGAGACTTAACGAGACAACCTCATAGATTTTCATAAAGATTTCGAAAATGCCTGAATTTTGCTTTATTGGAAAGCTGGTGTTTCTAGCTTTCATTTGATACCAAATACTCATCAACAACTTAAAATAGTCCCTTGAAAAATCTTACCAAAGTCGGGTATATAACTTGTCTCGTTAACGCACCTCTCTTATCGAGACAAACCATATATCGAGGCTTTGACAAGATTTTCCAGGGGACTGTTTTAAGAAGGACTGACGAAGAAGGATGATTGGAACCAAGCCTTCACGTGAAGGCCAGCTTCACAAAAATTTGCGTGTCCGAGGAAACGCGTGCCAAGATGTTCGCATATCTGAGTGCTACACTTAGAATCGCGGTAATTATTGAACCCCCTGTACAAAATGTAGTCTTTCATCCGCAATATTTTTACTGCATGTAACTTTTACCTCATTTTGTCTTTCAAAAACCTTTTGCAATTTTTTTATAGTCTTTTTTTTCTTTGACATCATTCAATGAAGCGACTATATCTTTTGCTTTCCCTTTTCTCATTTCCGATCTTCACTTATTCTATATGTATTCAATGCAATAAATTGTGTGACTTGCTTTTGCTTAAACATCGAAAAAATTTTCATAAGCTGCCTATTTGCAATCAGTGAAACAGAAAAACCCCAATCGCAATCAGGTCGGAGAATAGTTGCAAATCAAAAACTTCTTCAACTTCGTGGTTCCTTGGTGCTTTTACGTACGACAACGATCAACAGTCTCCCAGCATAACTTTTTAATCAATTAGCTGAATATTTTATTGCTGTCGAATACAAATATGTGAGAGCCAAAATGTTTGAAGGAATTTAGACCTTTTGACCTTTGCGCGATCTTCTTTATTTCAGAACTACACAGATTGCTCGATGATGGTTTTTTTCAAAATTAAGCTGTAGTTTTTCAATGCCGGAATTCGCCTTTATGGTCAAGCAATGCAAGGCCTTGTTTTCTCAAGCATTAGTTTTCTGTTTCTTAATACTTTTATTGTTTTAATCAAGGGAGATGTGTTGACCTTTTTTGCTATTCTTTTTCAGATAATCAACTTTCTACAAGCGTTGGTTGTGATTGGTGGATTTTTCGTATGGAAGCCCAAGAAATTCGTAGTTCGGTGAGGTGTAAATTTTTTATCACAACTTGTATATCTTAGGAAACTCGCCTCGACGTTGCTGTTCTCCCGGATGTTCCCTTTCTTCGGGTACTAAATTACTTGTCAGGATTACAAATTGAAAAGTAGCTTTTTTGTTTTATAAAGTATCAATGAGGATGCTTAGATGTCGGGGAATTTCGCGTCTCTTTCAACAACGTATTGATGTGAATCGGAAATCGCTGCCCACCGTACAAGTTTATTCTCTGACGATTGACCAGAAGAAGGTCAACCCTGAACCTCTTACTAATAATCATAACGAGGTAGTTTCAAATGAAAATGCTTTTTTTAACTAGCCTTCTAGGTTGAACCAACTATCTTCATCGCGATTGAAAAAGATTGGAGCCGTATGAAGTATGGAGCTGCTCCATTGAGGCAGGCACTCGAAAGATTCAATCACATGTTTCCAGGAATGTCCATTAAAACTCTCCATTTGGTACGGCTTTCAAAATTTTGCGCTCAGAGTGTAGTGGAGTACAAACAAATGTAATGAAAACTTTTAGAAGCTTGAGTATTTCGACGTCGCCACGTTTCATCAATTGCTGAAGAAGTTGGAGGAATGCAAAGTGAAATGCCAAAATCTTTTGGTGGCCACAGAGGGACAAAAGTTCGATTGGAAGGATCTACGACTTATGCTACTTCAGCTTGAACCAGAGAACTTCGGATTGGCGGTTTACTATCTTGTTTTTATTTCTCAACTAACCGGTTCAGATTGACGTGTTGACGACGTCGTTCTGGCAAGACAAATGCATTCGAGATCGTCGGGGGCTGGCGATTACTGCGAGAAATTTGTCCTTTGATGACCAGGTCAGTGAAATTAAATATCCCTACTAAGCAACTGAAATTCATCTTTTATTAACAGTGGAGATTGGTAATCAACGATTAAATCAAATTGTTGCTTTGCTTTTAGGTGCTGTTGAATTTTGCCTCTCCGAATTTCATGCTGAGCGATGTGACTGCTTGTACATTTGCCGGAATCGCCTCATTTCTTAACGAATGGGGAGCTGGAATCCGAGAAGTGACAAAGATACGACTATGGGTTCGATCTGACCTGAACATCAGAGAGGTGAGTGAAAGAGCTAATTTTTGAGATGTTCTTGTTTAGTTCTTTGCCATGTTGTCTTGGAATGTCAAGTTTGAAACGAAGGTCGACAGCGATTGTTTCGATTTTTAAGTTGTTAGGAATTCTCTCGGAAAGAAGCTCCACCTATGGATCGAACAAGAGGAGGCTAAGGAATTTTGGTAAGTTCTTTTGGATTGAGTTGGAAAGCAGTATTCTTGTCGTTCAATGTGATACGAGAACCTTCTCTAAAAAGCGATTAACTAATCTTCTTTCAGTTTTGAGATGCTGGAGGACTACGACAACGACTACCTCGGTTATTCGTGGGCCCCCATAGACGGTTGCGATTACGAGCAGGAGGTCTCTCGATTACGGTTGCGTAAAGCGGTTTCTTCATTGCCCAACACGCGGTTTCGCAAGTTTCGTGATGAAGAAATTTTGGAAACTTGGCCCATTAAAGAGCTGCTAAGCTGAGAAACAATTTTTTAAACTCGATGGAAGCTCGAATTTGAATGTAGCTACTCTAAAATCTTATGAATCTGTACCATTGTTGTGATTTTGTGAGCTTTGATCAGGCATTTCAGTAAATAAAAATTTTGATACTGAATTGGATAATTTTTTAAACGACCTAATACAAAATTTATTCGAATTATCATGAACAGGTCTGCATCAAAAAAATCACAGGTTATTTTGCAGCGATCTTTTTTGGCTATTCATCGCTTTTTTCGGCTTCGCCATTTTGCTTGATGAATACATATCGTTTTGAAGTTGGTTTTCCCTTGCGGTCGAAAGCCCTCTCGTATTGGGATTTCTCTTTGCCGTGTGCCAAATATCTGTAAAAAAGAAGTCAAACAATTAATAATAATAATAATAATCAAGTTGGGAATGAATGCAGAAATCCACTAAGAGAGGAATAAGCCTTATTGTTGCCTCATTGTTTATTACATTACTTTCTTTATGAAGTTTAACTACTTTAAGTTTAGTTTAACCGTTATTTTATTACTAATTTAGCACAAGTCAAACGGTGTTTTCCCTAACTTTTCCCTTTCTCTAGTTTTTTTGTCTCTCAACAATCGGATTCCTTTCCTGCACTTTTGAAGAAAGTTTAAATTAAGAAATCAAGTCTCACTTTTCTTCGCGTTTAACCAATTTCTCCTCCAACTGGTAATCCTTTTCCGACGTGCAACCTTTCCTTGCCCGAGAAGCCATGGCATCAGCCTAAAAAGACACATGATCTGGCTCCACATTAAACCCTAATCATCTCATTTCCCGCGTCGCCATTGTGGCCATATACATGTTGAAAGAGGACTCCTCTCGGGTAATTTGATACCACCTTCTTGATCGAATCGATTCTGAAAAAAAGACCAAATTTGAAGATTTTAAGTATTCCAAACCCTTTACGAAGATCTTTTGTTTTGAGCTTGCGACGTTTCTTCAATCCCTGGATCGTGTTCAAGCTGTCAGTACGGACGATAACATCCATATCGCTAGAAGGAAATGTTAAAAAATACAACAAGCTTAATTTATTCAGATAAGGCTAGATAGCTCTGCGATCCTATTTTAGAGCTTATAGAGCAATTGGGCAAGTGTATGAACTGATTGGACACAAACCGTTGGTTATTTTTGACCTATTCCATGCTATGTTCAATAATTAGTCTTTTGTAGAGGTTGTATTGTACCATAGCTCCTTTGTTTTAGCCCAGCTGTCATCAAATATATGTTTTGTGGAAATAATGCACAATTGGAGATCTTCAAAAATGAATGTGAAGCTTTGAAGCAAAAAATAGAATTTGCTCTTTAGCGGCCAAAAGAAATGATCCATTTTTTGGGGACTATTTTAACTGTACTGCACTTTTCATTTCAGTGGCAATATTGTTGGGCAGAGGATCTACAACCAAGGTGTCACTTGTTCGAAGTGTCCAACTGAATCGTCGTGCTTACAGGCCAGCGGTCTATGTGGTAAACTGACTGAAGCAAGACTAAGCTACTAAATACTGCAATAGTACCCTCCTATAGGAGTGTCGCGTAGTCCAACTTTACTCTCAAATGAACGTTCATATCTCAGCACCAATACGTTTGTTTTTGCGCCCCTGGATATCAAATCAAGGTAGAAAGGATGGGTGATTTGCTTGAGATATAACAAATATGTTTTAGCATTAACCAGGGCTTAGAACAAAACGATCGAAAAATTATGAAAAATCGGCTTATTGGCCACTTTTTTCGCGCAGAAATTAGCGTACTGGTGTCGAGAGCCGAGCGTTGGTTTGCGAGTAAATTTGCAAGTGAATTTAGTCTACGCAACGCTCCCATAGACAGGTGCAGTATTGCAGTATTTACGATATTCATCTACGGTGTGTGGTTGAGGCTAAAGTCTTCAACTACGTCTGTGGAGCTATGCTAACTCTTAACTTGCAGTTACTCCAACCTCAGTCGTTTTCCCAGCCGCTGTTCAAAGTTCAATTATATCGGTTTGATATTGGTGCCGTTTGGTTAACTCTTTTTAGACGATCAATGGCTTTCGCTCAAATGTGACCCTTGGCAAAGAAAAGTGGACAAATTATACTTGGGACTATGAATATGAGCACAATGTTCGTTGATGATTACTAACCTTCAAATGAAATTTAAGCCGGGCACCCCACCAGACACAAAAACGTGGCCAAAATCATTGAGAATGTGCCAGATAGTGGGTTTGGTTATAACATTTACTTTTAAATTTTCAGGCTTCTTCCAAATGGCGTCATAGGCCCGGAAGCACGTTTTAGATGACATTATCTGCTTTCTAAAGTGTGGATACAGTGACTTTATAGCGTCAAGAAAGCATATAATGTCTTCTAAAACATGCTCCCGGGCCCATGACGTCATTTGGAACAAGCCTACTCATTTTCACCGCTGAGATTATCTCCACCTTAGAGATGGAGTCCCAAATATGCGACCGCGGCAGCGGCTCGGTTGGGCGCTTGGACAAATGCCGGCTGGGGAACGCAACTCCCGCCAAATCCTTATAATTTGGTCGACCTCGGGCACGGGATTTACCCGTTGAAGAAAACAGATACCCCATCAACACCACAGCAAATGTGTATGTGAATGTAGCTTGTAAAAAAAGGATCTTTACGCTTAACGGCGGGCGGGAGCGATCATCGGTGCGGGCCGATCTTTTGACCAACTTGCAGCCCGACTTTAGATGGGTTTTTGTCAATGACTTTTGATGAGATAAATGGTTTCTGAAAGTTTACGTTCTAAGCTATCTAAATCTTAGTAAAACTTCCTGATCTGACCAGTTTGGGGCTTCATAAAGCTGAAAGTTGGTCAAAAAAGCGGTCTCCGGCGATAATCGTTCACTCGCCGTTAACCGTGAAGATCCCAAAAAAAAAGAAAAAAACAACTGTCTAGTGAAAACTCATTCTAATTGACAATAGACATTTACCTTGTAATCGTCAATAGGTGTACAATGGAAAATCGCCATATCTCAGTCAATTTCAATCGCATTTTTTTTGTTTTGAATCTATTCGACCCAAAATTTTCTATCGAAAAGATCCGATTGAAATTGACCCAGATATTGCAATTTTCCGTCATCTACCTATTGACGATCAGGCAGAAAATGCCTGACAAGTGATCCTAAACATGCACATGTTTAGTTGACAAAGCTTGGAACGAGTCTTGGTATGGTTACTGGTCGGTGTACGGTACTTTATCCTGGAAGTGGAATGGATTTACGGATGTAAACAACGCTAGCTGGACCTATCAAAATTATGCGTACGCAGTAAGTACAAAAAGGTAATTTATTGGGTACGAGCTTTCAAGGTCATGTCTGGAAACGCGCAGCTCATTGGATGTGCTTACCGAAAGATGCCTGGCCAATACGCAGTGCTTTGTCAGATCTTTCCGGCTTGCTGCAAGTGGATTTCTTTTTATTTTCATTTTTCATGAAAATGATTTCTAGCCCCAACTTGCCTAATTCAACTTATACCCCATATCTTGCGGGCGGAGAGGATTCAGTGGTCGGAAAGAATTGCCCAATAGATGGACCGCCTGATCCTACCACCGGTCTTTGTACTCATTGTCTTTGAGGCTTCGATCAAATGTACGATTGAAATCTTGTTTACCAGAATTTTCTCAATAAACTGATTAAATTATGCTTATCATTAGAGCAAACACGCAAAGAATACAAAAAAGAAAACCCAAACGTTTTTCACCTATGAAGTTGATAAACATAAACTAAGTAACAAAAATGCCAGTACGACACAAAGAAGCCTCCCAGATCTTAGTAAATATTTTATCAATTTTTTGTCAGTGTTATGAAGAGCTGGGTGCTGGACAGGGTGACCAAAGATTATAGTAGCATTTGGCCCAACAAAAATGTGTGGTTTGGTATTTTTAGAAAAATACAGGGCAAAAAATTTTCACTTTGACCTTTCCAAGCTAATATATCGAATTTGGCATCATTTCCTAGGAGATTGTATGTGTAGATTGTGCAATAAAAAAATAAATTAAATATTTCTCCAGTCTCGATATTTTTTACATATTACTCGATTTTGAAATGAGTACATTATTTACATATAAGAGTTTAAGGAAATATTATTCTAATATAGATGTATGTATGTAAAGGAAATATAAAGAAAAAACAAAGTGCAAAATGACATGGACATCATTTTTGATTGCCCAACTTGTTGCATTCTAGAAATTTACAGAACCGAAGCTTTTCTAAATCTGTCAAAAGTCTGTTTTAGAGGATAAATAGATTTTTTATTGGTAAAAATTATAGATTAATTGGTGCACTATTTCTGAATTGTTTGTGCAAAATCTCACATAAAACGTTTTCCCAAAAACCCAGAATTCCGCCTGAAACTGCAAGTATTTTGCTCTCTCTTCGCTCCTGAATAGACTACTAGATAAACGCGTTGAACATCAATGGACATCAGCATGAGGAAACTGATAATTCTTTGTGAAGGTCGCTCTTCTCGTCCCACAACTCGTCGATTTGTCTTTGATTTTTGTTCCTGAAGTTTTCAAAAATTCGATTTATGCTCGAGGGTGATAATCTTGTCCCGTACTGTATGTCTCTCTAACCTCCCACAAATTTGGCTCACTCCATAAACTTATTTGGCGCGTTGGATAAAGCAGTCGCAATGACACACAACCAAGTGAGGAACTTTCGGATCATCAACTAAAAATCCAAAGCCGAAAAAAGAACGCACTCTAACCGCTGGTTGGGTGGGTGGAGTTGAATAAAATTTGCACTCTGCCCATTTTTTCTTCTGGTACTCGGAGGCCTTCAGCCCTTTCTGCCTTAGTTCCGCTTTAATTGTAGCAGGTTTTTAGGGATTAGTAGAGTTATTGAGATGTTGATTCGCAGCTTTATTATATATGTTCTTTTTAGTCTTTCTGCTGGCCGATAAATGGAAGCCCGTGCTCGACGCCCATTTTGATAGTTTAAACTGGGCTCTTTACTGGTGTACATATTTCATTTTATAACACGACTTTCTTGTTGGAAGCTCAATCACTCACACAGATACACACAGCACAGAGTTAGATGTTCGAACTTAGCTTATCCTAAATACACTATGGGTAGATTTAAACAATTAAAAAAAACGTAAATTTCAACAAGGCTTTATGCATGCAAAAAGTGTCTTTAAAGTTTGGCGCCATTTCATTCTCTCCAACCCAATGGAAAGAAACACACTAGACCCGTCTTTTGGTTCGGATGAACCGAACCGAAAAATGAGCAGCTTTAAGCAAAGTAAATGCGAAATTGGGTCTTTTTTAGAACTTTGAGACAGGAATAAATACTCAAATCGAAGGTTTCTAGGTGTAATTTTGCGCGTTCGTTCCAAAAAATATTAAGGATTTCAAATTTTTTCAGCAAAAAAACAATTAGGGCTACATTTTGGAAAGTTAGAAAAAATTAGAAAGTTAGCTGAATAAATAAAATTTCCACTTGTATAAGAAGCTTAGAATTAACCTTGGACAAAGTGCCTTTTTCGAAGAGCACAAGAATTGCAATAAAAGTTTCCAGAGTTATTGTCACAGTTAGCAGGTTGCTCATGAGATTTGGAAGTAACCTCGAGAAGTAACACACGTTCAAGCATGCGACATTACTTATTAGCCATCCTGTATATACCCTTATCTGGCTGGTCAGATGATCGGAACATTTAAATTTTATCTTCTCATAAGCAATTTTTCCATCCAGCTAACCGTTTTGTCTAGACTAAACAGCTGATCCTTGAAGATCCAGCTCTGAACTGAGCTCTGCAAATCACGAAATCTAGTTACACTTATCATTTGGCAGAGTTTATTTGCTATTAAGTTTTCGAGTTAGGTTTTTAAGTCTAAGCCCTTACTCTTGAAGACACATCGAAGAGCTGTGGTTAAATAATGAGAATGTACACAGAACCTAAATTAAATTTCAAATTATATTTCAAAATAAAATTGGTCGAGTCAACAAAAGATATAATTTGAGTATAGAAGGGCTTATCTCTCAAAAGCTTATCTAAAACCACCAAATACATAGAGATAACGTAACCAATAAAGAGGT